GGACCAAAAACGAACTTGTCTCCTTGCATGTGAAATCGGATCACTGGTCCATCATAACCCAATCCCTTAATCAGGCATCCTTTTTGTATTTTACTCCCTGGTAGCCTTTTTTCGCGTTTATCTCCTTAAAATTTCTCTCAAGTTTTGCAGTTCACGCACCACACCTGAGTTTTCGTTTTAGCCTCCTCGTTTCCCCTGCAAAAAGCTTTTTTCCACTCTTTTTTTTTTTTTCTTTTCATTTCTTTTTTTCATTTCCCTTTTTCTTCTTCTTCCATTTCTCTCAGAATATTACTTTTGTAGATTTGCACCCACGTTCGTGAGATTTTCTTCTTTGTCTATAAAAAAATTTGGAAAACCCTTGCAGTCGAGTCCAAGTTCGCTCCGCAGCAAAGCTGACCCCTCTCGCTCTGTGCCGGCCCACCAATACGTCGCAACCACATCCGGCGACCAAGTAGGAGCCAAAAACTCTTTCCAAGAGAGCTACAACAAAATCCGAGCGCCTCCCACCCCCCTCATTCACCATCTTCTCGTCTGTTCCCACGATACGACCTCTATCTTAACTACACCCCCCCCCCCTCTTCCTTCCTGCTTAAATCGTTGCTATCAATCCATCAAGGGCGTCGTTCTTCCTTGCGGAAAAAAGACCCTTTCCATCGACCCTCAACCCCCCCCTTCCCCCCGAAAGCAGTCCAGTCAACCCCGCCAAACAGGATTGCTCCTCACCCCACCACGGACTGTTATAGACCTACTCACGAACGTCGTTGACAAACCTCCACTCACTCTCTCGCTTGCACGTTCCTGTCGCTGCTATCAACCCAAAGAAGATTCCATCCTTCGCTTTGCCCCATCTCGCTACTTGGACGTGCTGCGTAACCTCGCCCTGGTCTTTAGGTTTCTTCCTTTTGGATATCTTCCCCGCGCCCTCTTCAGAGTTTCAGGGTCCGTCAATCACCATCGTCATACAACCCCCCCCCTACCCCTAGCAAAATAATATTTTCCAACCCACTTCCATTAAAGAGCTAGCACACTCCTTTGCGCCTCTCTTTTCATTCTATCTTCACTTTTCTGTGTTGAAAGCAAAGCTACGATTTATTGCCTTTCTTCTAACTGTAACGAGTTTCATCACCCACAACCGTCACTTCCCCCCTCTCCCACGACCACACCCCAATCCGCCGCCTCCTAGATTTCGGGAAGTGTTTCTTCTTCGTTTGTAACGCTGGAGCTCTCGGGTGTCACTGCTTGGTCTACACCTTGTTACACTTACTGGAATACACTCACATCAACCAGCCCTGAACCTATATTTTCTTTAGTGGCTCTTTCGGTACCCCATTTTCTTGCATAGCCTCACCCGTTTCAATCGTCATCATTTCAGACTTCCATCATCACCACGGCCACTCTCTCAATTCATATTCTCTCCCTTATCCAACCTTGCCATCCACGATAGCTTACCCCTTTTCCGATAACGTTTGCGGTTAGTGGGCTTCTGTAACAATGTCACAAAACAGACCCGCTGCCTTCTCTGGCCTGCGGATGGGGGGTAAATATTATTTGCCTTTCTCTCTCTCTTAATTACAGTGCTAATACTTCCCTCATAGAGATTATTCGAGAGAAGGTTCAGGATGGATTGACCGGTGAAATTCGAGAGATGCAGTATACACAGTGCAAGATCGTAGGGAATGGCTCTTTTGGTGTAGTTTTTCAGACCAAATTGTCCCCCAACGGCGACGATGCTGCTATTAAACGTGTGTTACAGGATAAGCGGTTTAAGGTATGAATTTCGTTTCCCGTGGGTTGCGATTTGGACGGTCGACTAACCTTCTCGATCCTTAGAATCGTGAGCTTCAAATCATGCGTATCGTGCGGCACCCGAACATCGTGGAACTGAAAGCATTCTACTACTCTAACGGAGAGAGGGTGAGTACTTTCCAATAATCTGTCTTAATTTTTTTACACTAACAATTTGTAGAAGGATGAGGTTTACCTTAATCTTGTCTTGGAATTCGTTCCAGAGACTGTTTATAGGGCTTCCCGATATTTCAACAAATTGAAGACCACCATGCCGATATTGGAGGTGAAGCTTTACATCTACCAGCTATTCCGGTCCCTTGCATACATCCATTCTCAGGGGATCTGTCATCGAGATATCAAGCCTCAGAACCTTTTGCTGGACCCCGCGTCTGGGGTTCTCAAGCTGTGCGATTTCGGTAGCGCCAAGATATTGGTTGAAAATGAACCCAACGTCTCGTATATCTGCTCACGGTATTACCGTGCTCCCGAGCTCATCTTTGGAGCCACAAATTACACACCGAAAATAGGTATGTCCCTTGAATTGGCTCTTGGGAACAGCTTCTCTGACCGGTCCCATAGATGTCTGGTCAACAGGATGTGTTATGGCGGAACTTATGCTTGGGCAACCTTTATTCCCTGGAGAATCGGGTATTGACCAACTAGTGGAGATCATTAAGGTTCTTGGCACCCCTACACGAGATCAGATCAGAACCATGAACCCCAATTACATGGAGCACAAGTTCCCCCAGATCAAGCCGCACCCCTTCTCCAAGGTACGTGTTTTTTTTGGTTTTCTTGGTTTCCTGAGGGGCAGAGCTTATTTTTCGTCGCGATGTTAGGTATTCCGCAAAGCTTCAACTGAAGCTATCGACCTGATATCGAGATTGCTTGAGTATACTCCCACTCAACGTCTCTCCGCTATCGAGGCCATGTGCCATCCATTCTTCGACGAGTTGCGTGACCCGAACACTAAGTTACCAGATTCCCGTGGTGGCCAAGGTCTTCGGGATCTACCCCGCCTCTTTGATTTTAGTAGGCATGGTATGTTTATCTCTTTCTGATTCAACTTGGGACTCTTTTTTTTTTTTTACTTTCTATACAAACACATGCTAATGATTACATTCTACAGAACTCTCAATCATGCCCGAGCTTAACGAGCGGCTGGTACCGCATCATGCTCGCCCTGCGCTATTATCTCGAGGTATAGACTTGAATAACTTTGTCCCCATGTCCAAAGAGGAGATGATGGCAAAACTGGATTAAAAAATTCCCTTCTATTAAACCCAAATTTCATGGTTCCCTTCCTCTATCTCTTTTTTTTTTTCTTTTTTCTTTTTTTCTAAGTTTTCTCATTCATATGGCATGGCGACACCGATACGAGGCACAGAGATTAGGTTTTTTTTTTTCTTTCGAAACGGCACATGGCGAATTGAGAGATCTCTATTCCCATTAGATGGATTTGCTGACAAGGGAAGGAAGGAAGGGTCAGCAAGGCTCTGTGTTTGCTCGAGGGTATTGCCTTGATGGGTCGACATGAGCGTGTGCCAGGTGGTGTGATGTTTACCTTTTTTTTTTGTACACGGGTTCTCTTCTCTTCTCAAGTGGGCTTTTTATGGCTCTTTAAAATTATTTGAAGGTTCCGACCTGGGATCTTCGTTTTCAGAGCTGTTGGAAGGATGCGTGGATGGCGGGGATTATCTTGGTGTTGAGAGGGTCTGTTGTCAAAAAAAAAAAAGAAAAGGAAAGTGAACTATGCCTATGTGCGCTGACAAAAATGAAAACCAGTTTCTTCCTTTGTCTTTTTTGTCTTGATTCTTATTCCTTTTCTCCGAGATGGGTCTAGGTTATCGGGCAGGGGAAATCATGGGGATGCAACAAGTTCGGCGACGTCGTTCCTCCTGGTCATGAGGCGCCAGGCTCATTTTAACGCGCAGCTTTCATCTGAAGTATTAGCTGCGGATTGTTTTGAGCGAAAGGATTTTCAGGTTCCGTGGTTGCTTGCCATTTCCCCTTTCCTGTTGGCCAGTCTACCGTGCTTCAATATGGGTTTCCCGTGTCACCTTTTTTTTTTCCCTCCCGTTTAAGGTATTTCATCTTGCTCCCGGAGTTATCGTTTATTTACTACGGGGGGTTGCAAGGTTACGAACCACTTGTCCATGATAAACGGGCTTCAGCTATATTTCTTATTTTACTGCGGCATAACAATTTAACTCTATTGGGAATCTTTTCAACCATATCAAATCGTTTCCCCACTTCCCTTCCCCCCTCCCTTGAACCATTTCGCAAGCCATGAGGGAGGAGCTGTGTTGCGAAGCTTCTAGAAGGTAGAAGATTGACGACCATACTATTTGCTATGGTGTTGGCTTGCTTCTAGTATGTATACTTATATTTATACCTATATACAAGTGTCAGGGATAGTGTCAGTGAATAGTTGATTCAGGTTAACCTCAGAAACGATCCCTGTCCCGTACTTAGAAAATTTCTCCCTGACACTTGTATAATGTTATAAATATTATGTGAACGTCAGCTCTGATGGTACTTAACTGAGCCCGTCCTACTAACGAATCAGGGCCCCTAGAGCTCACCTCACGACCATTGTATTCCCGCCCTCCCTTCTCCTACCCACCTTCCCTCACAACCGGTATTGTGATACGGGCCCAAATTGGTTTCGGAGCATTTTTTTTTATTGTATGATACAGGTACCGGACCTGTAGGGCCCAGGTACTGATACCCGGTCTCACCCAATGCTGGTACTATTTATCTATTGTATGTATATCATAATCATAGTACTCTTAATTTATCTAAATCCCTTGCCCGCGGAACGCATCCTCTCCCCCCCTCCCTCTCTGTTCCACACTAATACCGCATCACATTCAGCTAGTTTTTGAAAAATCCATACATCCCATCCCACGAATCAGAGGGGTGAACCGCAGCGCTGTAATGATCATTCATCCACTCATTCCCTTTGGCTTCCTCGCCTTCTCACTCTCCCCTCCCCCTTCTCGCAGTAGCTGCATGGGATCAAGTGCGTGGGAGTAAACTTTTTATTATTGTTATTATTTTTTTGTTATTTTCTTTTCTTCGTTCGCTTGCTCATTCATTCATTGCTGGTTTTGGTCACGCTGCTGCGCAAAGTATCATACAGTAGGCAGGCAGGCAGGCAGGCATGAGAGTGGTGGGTGCGTGGTCGGTCGGTGTGTGGGTTCCACTGTAGTCTACCTAGCCATAAGTCACTGCCGTTGCTTTGTTACCAGCTTTCTTGGCTGATCTTCTGCTGGTACCGGTAGTGATCACCCCCTTCCACTTCTACCGGTACGCCATCCCTACTCTCATTGTTGCCTATAGGCCCTCACGCTGGAGGAGTTATTACCTCGCTATGGGGGGGAGGGGGAGCCGGAGGGAGTTATTTATTCGGCTGGCGAGTTGACCAATGTCGGCGCATTTCCGTGGAGGTATCATATTCGGGGAAGATACGTATTCCATATCATACCAACAGGTGAAATGTACCTTACTCCACAAGTACGAGTATCATAACATACCAAGGACCGAAGAGGGGGGGGGGCTTTCCTGCCACAGTACAGTACAGTAGGTTAGCACGGGTATCGATATCATAGGTTCGGTTGAAGAAAGATTATGTTACAGTGGGGTGAGATGGGTTATACAGTGAAGCACAGTAAGGCACTGTACCGGTCCCATCAAATTACTTGTGTCTCTCTTGCTACCTGCAAACCTGGTATCATAATTATAATATATTATAATAATATTATAATAATATTATATAATCGACTTAAAAATCTTGGGTGCGTGATGCGGTGGTGGTTGTTGCCCTGAGCCCTAACCGAACTTGACGTGTCTGTTTGTTCCTCGTCTCATGATGCTGCTGGGTAAACTTGGAATATCATACGCTATATGTTACGACATTCTTCCTTGCTTGGGCTCGCATTTTTTACCTCCTTCTCCTCCTCCTTCTCCGTCAAACGGCTTGCGCCTTATCCTCGCTCAATAATAATAAATTTATCCTGGCCTTTTCTATTTTTTTTTATACCAACGTGGCTTCGACCAACCAACCCTGTCTTTCCTTTCGCGAATGAATGTCGGTTGACTCGGACAAGCGGTACTGTACCGTTTACGGTATGGCATGTCACTCGAGGAGGTGATTCCAGGTTCCCCTGTGGAAAGATGGAAGGATGGAAGGAAGGAAAGGAAGGAAAGGAAGGAAAAGGAAGGTCTTTTGAACTCGTATCATAATACTTGCGTTGCTTGGTGGCAGGATGGGGTACGGTACTGGGCACTGATTGATCGATTGGTGTTACCGTTACGTTCGAACTCGTTTGTGAGTAGTGTGAATGATTCGCTGGAGATTTTACTGCATGTCATTGTTGCCCTGCTTGTAGACTACTGGAGCTCGTCGCCATCTGCTGGTATGATAGCGTAGGTTATTCACGTGTAGTGTCGGGAGTCAAGTGATTACCGGAGATCAGTTGTTACCGGAATTGTCCTTTATTGTCAGGACAATATTAATATTAATAATAATAATAATAATAATAATAATAGCAACAATACCTTTTGCTAAAAATTCTACCAGTTCCTCTTCCTCCGGCCAAGGATATGTTAAACCTCTTGTACAATCATTTCTCCGTGGTTCCAACGTTATATACCGGTATGTCATACTTATCTTTCATCGCGCAAAAATTGGGGAATATATATTTATCGATTGAAACAATTGAAGGTTTCAGACATCATGGAACCAGTCAGTTTACTTGGTTGCATATATAAGACAAAACCAGTGCGCCGGTATACCACCTATTATGCAAGTTCCGTGAAATCACGTAACAACAGGAGAAACTGGAACATACCGGGAGGGAAGAGAGAGAGAGAGAGAGAGGAAGAGAGCTGCAGGATGCGTTTGGGGGGTAGTCACGGCTATTTACGATAATACGTGTTCACACTGGGGGGGTGGGAGGAAGGGAGGGATTGGGGAGATTAATTTTCTCCCCTTCCCCATGTCCGCCTATGCATAATCCAACCCTCATTCCATATTGGAGGGTATGCTAGGGAGGCCCTCATAATATGTTTAAAAAGGGCTCCCGCAAAAAAAAAGGTAATAAAGCTACAACATGGTGTGTCCCCCACCTTCCTTCCTTTCCTCCCGGTCCACATGGAAATGCGATTTTGTTTCGCCGTATTGGGGTTTATGGGATCTCGATCCCGATCTCGGTACATATCTTGAGCAATCCAGGATCAGAGCCTGATAGCGGTGGTGAGGTTGTCTGGCTGGTGATTCTTTTTCCTTTTTCAAAAAAGGCTCAACGGATTGACCGCTGTTCATGTCCTGCAGCATGAGTTTATGCCTGTCTGGTGATCGCGGGAGAGGCGCCAATGCCTGAGCACATTAAGCTGATGGTAAAACAGACCATTCCTATAGTGGTGGTTGCTCGTACCGATAAGCTTGTGCTGCTGCTGCTGCTGCTGCTAGGCATATGTAGCTTGTTTGGAATGTATGCTTGTGATTCCAACGGTCTTGTGAAGTGTGCATGTATGGTTAGCCCTGTCCATCCAGGCCTCCATTAGACTGTATGTTATCTAGAGGATTTCTCGCAGCCAGAGTTTCGGTAATTCCCCTGTTGCTTTTTCAAGTTCTATCACTGTTACCTGAATCGGCACATGGGCCAGCACTTGTACTTCTAACTATGTGAGCACAGTGCTCCCACCCTGCCTCACGTTTCATTTAACGCACCCAAAGAAGGAAAAAAGATCACCTCGTGACCCCCGGAAGGTCTGAGCAATTCCGAGCGTCGCTTTGCACTAGTAGTGCGTATTTCAAAGTGAGAGATGTTGCAAATTAGGAAAGTATTCAGTTTATCCCAGCCTCAGATACAAAACGTTGTTGCTTGGTATTAGCCTAGACTTGACTCCAATTCAACCTCCATGCAGTGTAGAAACAAAGAGTATTGTGTCGCCATCCTGGATTAGATACTCCTCCTCCCCTTCCAGTTCCCAGTCGGCATCATTGATCAGGACCAATATACCAGGGCGTCTATTGCGCGCGAGCAATGTTAGCTTATGTAGATGTGTACCACCCCGTCACAGTAACAACGCCAAAAGGAGCCCCACATCCTATCTTCTAAAACGAAGAGATCCTTTCTTTTGTCCTTCATTAGATTCTCGCACAGGTGGCGTACCAAAAACCCTATGTTCACCGGTTGTTTAGAGGGGCCTTTTGCCGGCATTTGTATATGGTGGGACCGCTGATTAGAGAATAGCATCTCAAGACCACCTCTAAAGAAGAACCCTCACATAGTTAGCTATTCACCCGGCCTCCGGAGGTCATATGTGTTCCTAGTGCTTACGAGAATTCAATATTAAGGGAGACAGGTTTAGAATAAATCCCGTTTGGGGAGGGGTCTTGTTGTTCGCCCATACTCGTTTGTCGTGTGTGTGTGCGGCGTGTATGTGATTGTCACCTGTCGCAGGAATCGCAGTTATCGATAGGGAGGGGCGTTCATGGTTGCATGCTCAGGGTTCGGGAGGTTTCTTGAAAGAAATATTTGCTCTCGCTCTGGCGCTTAGTCATCCCCAAACGGTGCCAAGCAATTAAAGGTTCCTCGAACGCGGTCCAAACATGACACTAGAAGGAACTCGCCCTAGAAAACACCAACACACCCCTGCGGTCACACGTCGACCACGAAGGCAAAAGATAAAAAGATAATAGCGACGAATAATGGGCGATTACTACCGTGGAAGAGAAGAAGGTCGTGGAGGAGGTAGAGGGGGGGGTCCGAGACGCTCTCAGAAGAGACGTCACAGAGGTTAGTTCCTCCGTAACTGCGCATTGATCCGGACACCAACAGCCACTAACACATCCACAAAGACGATGACGATGATGATAAAGAATATCGACGCTCACGTCCGTATGAGAGGGAGGATCCAGCCTCTAGATTGCGAAGGGACACCATTTCAATCGCAGAATCTGTTTGTCCTCCGATTACAATTTCTGTCCTAACCGCTGACCAAATCCATAGCCTCTGACCAAAATTGAGGAAACCATCAACCTAATTGCAAATACTTTCGCCTCAAATTGCGATAGTGAGGAGCTCCGCAATACTTTCCTCAATACCTTGCTCTCTCTGTATGTCTTCCTAGGCTAGTGACTTGTGAATTGTTAGTATCCTACTGACGCGTCGTAGGGTTGTTGAGCAACCTTTCAAAATTCCTTTCCTTACGGCTGCTGTTCTTGTCATCAATTCACGGAATGCCGAAGCTGGGAAGTTGATCCTCGATGAATTTGGGAAGGCTGCACAGGCATATCTTACTGAAGGATTCCTCACTAGTGCAAAGCTTGTCTTGCGCTTCCTCGCCGGGCTTCAGGGAATGGTGGAAGGCGAGGGATTATACTTTGTGTTGGGCGGTATAGTCGATCAGGCTGCCGGTTATCTTGCTGCGGAAGAAGTGGTTAGCTACTCGGCTCTTTCCCTTCCCCCCTCTCTCCCATCACAGCAATTCTAACTCCGAACAGGGACTGGCCCTGGACCTGGTGTGGATTACATTAATAACTGTTCCCTACATTCTCGCCTCATCAAGATCCGACAATAGCTTAGCCAGCGAGCTTTTGAAAAAGACAAGCTCTATCACTGAGGTTAAGCACAGGATGCAATCGCTGCTAAGTCCGTTTACAGGAGGATATGCCCCCTACGATGCGAGGGCCCAAGGAACCCATGTGAGCCACAGCTATGCGCCTTCAATTCCACCACAAGCTGACATTTTTTTTGACAGAATGCCCGGATACTTCAATTGAATTTGGAAGCATGCTTGGGGAGTGAGCCAAGTAGGCCCTTCCATGGTGTAGGCTGCTTGCCAAGGCCATATGAATCTTTTCTCCAGGAACTGGAGGGAGCCACCAAACATCCCATGCCCGAAATCACGTTACCATCCGACTATCCAGTCGACAAAAGTGCCATCATGCCCCATGTCTACTTCTCTGTATTTGCGGACCCAAATGTTGAGGTGTGTCTCTACCAGGTTCTATTGGGGTTAAAATCGTGACTAACAATTACAAGACTGTTCCCCCACCCCTAGAACTTGCTTCAACGCTGTTCCGCGATGCGATTGTTGACACAATCGATACGCTAGACTGTAATCGTCTTGTGGTATCCCGGTTTTTAATTGAAATTGATTGCTACTTCTCACCTAATGCTTTTATAAAACGGGCTGTTCCTTTCGACAGAGTTATTGAGACGGCAGGCCCCGAGGGGTCCACATGGAAACCGGAGGACGTAGCTGTGGATGCCATCTTTAGCCAACTCTACAAGCTCCCCGGGCCGAATCACAAGTTGGTTTATTATCACTCTATCCTTACGGAGCTTTGCAAGCTTGCGCCTGCAGCTGTGGCACCCTCTTTGGGTAGAGCAATTAGATTCATGTATAAGAACCTTGAATCCATGGATACTGAACTAATCTATCGATTCGTCGATTGGTTCTCCCATCATCTTAGCAACTTTGGATTCACCTGGAAATGGGCCGAGTGGTTTGTATTCAACTGAGTTACACTCCGGAATTTGTCATGACTAATTACGATCCTAGGAATGAGAATTTAACTTTACCCGATGTCCACCCCAAGAAAGCATTCATCCTTGGAGCACTTGAAAAAGAAATTCGACTTAGTTTTGCTACACGAATTAAGGGCACAATTCCAGCTCCATATAAGGAGCTTATCTCGGAAGCTAAGGAAAAAGAACAACCACACTTTAAGTATGATTCTGAAGGTACAAGTTATCTCCAGGCACTCCACCCCGTGCCTGGTTAGCGGCAGCTATAGGCAGTTTACTGACAATCCCCCAGACGAGCCATTCTGCAAAGAAGCCAAAGAAGTCCTCCACGCAGTAGCAGACAAGAAGGAGGACGCAGAAGTTGATGCCATTCTTGCCAAAATTGTCGAACTAGCCAAGGAGAGCGGTGTTGCAGACCCCCTATTTGTCGCACGTGATGCATATGTTACCGCAATCTGCCATATTGGTGCAAAGTCGCTATCCCACGTATTGAGTTGTATCGAGCGGTGCAAGGAAAAGCTCCTAGCCATAGGAAACGAATCCCCGGATGCCAGACGTCAGATCGTCGGCTCGGTACTAAGCTATTGGGAAGACCAACCAGGTATTGGCGCAAATGTGGTCGACAAGCTCCTAAATTACTCCATTGTAACTCCCTTATCAGTTGTCGAGTGGGTTCTCCACGACGCTGGGAATAAGGCTCTATCACATACCCATGCCTGGGAAATGGTTTCGACTACAATAAACAAGGTCAATACTAGAGTCCGACAGATGGTCGCAGCAAGGCGGGTGATGTCTATCAATGACTACACAGAGGAGCAGCTAGCGGTCTACGCCCAGACCCTGAATGCTGCAGAAATCGAGCAGGGGGTGCTCCTTAATGCTGTTACGGACGCTCTGACGGCCATGTCCGACAGCTCGGATGAGATGAATGGTGGCATAGACGTCGAGAGCAAGGCTTGGATGCAGTGGTGGGCCAAGGGCTGGTTGCGAGCGTTCAGTAGGAAGTTTGGCGTCGCGGAAGGGACTGTAGTAGAACAGCCGGTTGGCGGACCCTCTGCCAGGCTTGATCCAGAGGATATGGATACTATGTGATCTTGATCAGGGGGTCCCTCGGCGTGGCGGGTGTCTTGGTTTCTGTATGATATACTGGCGGTACCATTCGAGTCTTTTGTAATCACTGGCCCAGGGGAAATCTGCTTGGGTCATTCATAGGTGACAACGTTTCGATTTGTTTTACTAGTCATCCCTCTTTCTTCCTCTTGAAAAATCAAAAACAAAAACAAACTAGGCGAGTGATTGCTTGTGGCACAGTTAGAGATATAATTTTTCATTTGTTGGGTTGACTGCGTCGTTGCTAAGTCTGGTGTATCTATCGCCATTAATCCATGCTGAATTGTTGAGAAACAAGCGAATTACCATGGGCGTGTAATCATAAAATGGTGCTAAAGAAAAAATGAGAAATGAAAGTTGTAGCACAGGAATTAAATATGCGCCGTTGGCTGGGGTCTTCGTCTCAGGCCATCAAAACTTCCCCCAGGGAGCTCTCCGTCATCCGTCCCCTCTCCAGGTCTCGATTGCTCCCTCGTCGTCCGCTTTCTCGGCCATAGCGAGGGCAGCACGATTTGCTGAAACTTGGGCTCTACACACCTCTCGTCGATCCAGCCATGCAAACGGCTCTCGACAAGCTGAGCTATCTTCGGAACATCCTGCAGCCTAGATCTAGACCCCACAAGACTCCTCACGGCGATCTCAAGCCTGTAATCATCCAGAAAGCTAAACGTAAGGGTAGTATTCCCAGCCAAATTTTCCGGCGAAGGAATGAACGAAATTGACAACGTCCCCGAAAACCGAACAATCGAGACGGCTAGGGCAACGGGCAATACCGCGACCAATGGTTTCGGCCAATTCAGCAGTAGCTTCGTTTCAACCCCCAGGGTGATCAAGTCGCTGAGATCGACGTCCATCTTCGCCTGCAACTTCCCGGGTTCATCATCACTCGGCGAGATCCTGCAATTAGAGAAGATGGGAAAGTCCTCCCCGAGGGAGACCTCCGTCACCCGGATCGAGTCTAAGAAGTCCGGCTTCTGCGGGCCGTTCAGGAATTTATTCAGTGACTTCAGGATCGCACCATCGGTGTGAGCGTCCTCGCGGAATTGCGCTAGCGTCTGAGCGATGAGCACGTTGAACCAGTCGAGGGATTCGGGCTGATGGGAGCGCACATCGTAGTACGTCTTCGACAGGATCGTCTCTGTGGATTGCGACGGGGGGTCACGGAGGACGGCGGAACGCTTTTTTCGTAGGTTGGATTGGTTCCGAGAGAATTGTTTTAGGGCGGTGGGCGTGAAGGACCCTGAGTAGATAGTTTTCGAAGTGGAGCCGGGCGAGTCGCCGAATATAAAGAATTTTATGAAGCAGCCGAGGGTTAGGATTACGATCAGTTGGCCTAAGAGGAGGCCTTGGGTGAAGGACCAGCTTTTTGGGTGATAATTGTTAGCTCAGGTTCAGGAGTTGAAGGGAGATTATGAGCTAGGTATCGTGGAGAGGAGGAGGTACCTAGAACATTGTTTCGTAGTAAGAGCAAGGTATTCCGATAACGGAAGCTGTATGTGGCGTTCTGATAGCAAACATTGTCAGCGATCCGTTTATTTGCACCTACAACCGAGACCGAGAAAAGAGAGAAAAGCAAGGATAAATTAATGGAAGAATGAAGGAAAGAGGAAGTTTGTACCCTGCTGCATGCGTTTGGTTGCGCGGCGAGAGTTACTTGAAGAACGACAAGGGGTACAGTATGATACAAACCAGAGAAGTGGAATGGAGGGGAAAGAAAAAAACTGGTGAATTAGTAGGTGGGGAGGGTTGGGTTCTGACGTCGCTGGAAGAAATGTGAAACCCGGAGGGCAACCGTTTCATTAAGCCGCAATGCCCTGGTATCATACCGTATGATATCAGACGCACCACACCGGTACTGGTTAACCAAGCGAAACCAAGCGAAGGAGTACTCATAGTATGATATGATGATCCCAATAGCGTGGGCGATATTTAGCTGTCCTTTGTACACTTATCAATGCTACCGGTATCATACATTTCTATCTGTGTAGAGATCGTGTGAAGAATGCTGGCACAGCTTTGATATTCCTATCAGAAGCTTCACAGCAGCCACGATACACGCCAGAAAGTGGCTGGCCATAAAGCGTCACCGACGATATCCTCCGATTCGCCAGTATCATACCGCATTCAGCAATTGTCACCAGAAAACAGCGCCGAGCACGATTAGTCATCAATTGAAATTTAACTCTTTTCTCGTTTCTCTCTCTTTCCCTATCGCAACAACCCATCATCACCGCACCTCAAGCAAAAAAAAAAAATCAATCGAGTCTCAAAGTTAGGCCCTGTTTTCCGTTAGCATCACACCTCTCAGTCCCATCGCCTCCCCACCACCTTTCCATCTAAATCTCCCTC